TGATGCCTCTACAGACAGATGCAATTTATTATTGTTGCTTTTTGGCAAGCAAATGAGACTAAACCAAACCATATCATTTGTTTATTTTTACTTTGCCTGTACCCTGAAGCAAAGTGGAAATACAAGGTTAATATCCTTTTTTGTAACTGCTCAAAAATAACAATAAATATGACACACGGAATTTACATCACTTTACAAACTCATGCCTCTACAGACAGATGCAATTTATTATTGTTGCTTTTTGGCAAGCAAATGAGACTAAACCAAACCATATCATTTGTTTATTTTTACTTTGCCTGTACCCTGAAGCAAAGTGGAAATACAAGGTTAATATCCTTTTTTGTAACTGCTCAAAAATAACAATAAATATGACACACGGAATTTACATCACTTTACAAACTCACTGTAGGATCCACTTCACCCAACGTTGCAATGCAGCCAACTTTCTAGCAGTCTTGCTAGGTTTTCTTATAGCATACAAAGGCTACAATATTAGCTGTAGTAGAGGAAGGAAGAACAACACCCTATGCATGTGAACCAGGGGGAGGGCCTTAGGGAGGCTGATGGAAATTTCTTCCACATTGGAAGTTAGCTTGAGGAATTTTAAGAATTTCATAAAACAAGTGTTTAGGAATGTGAGGGCATTTCTGGGCATTTCCACTTTAATACACTCCTCAGGAACAGTAGGGGGATGTCATGGTTTCTGGGTTACTGTTATGAGCGCCCTGTTAGCTAACACTGGCCTAAGTTGAAATGTATATTCCTTTGAAATCCCATTCAACGACCCAGTGTCCACTTCTATCCCACTGGATCCTGAATTGCTGGCCCCTTTGCTTTGGACGTGGAAGCAAAGGTGACTCTAAAGACGGATCGGTTATTGTCTACTGTAGCGCTGAATGATACAACCAGAAGCTAGCTCCCCTCTGACTGTTCCCCTACCTTTGCACCAGACCTCTTGACTCAGTCTTTTATTGTCCACTTTGGAAGTGAAGAGGTGCAAGGTGTTTTATGGAATCCGGTGCATCGCTGAAACAGGTTCCTTGTGTGCATGTCTCCTCCCCACTCTGAACTGTGATCCCAGATGGTGTTCTTGTCCAGTCAGCCTTGTTTGGACGCTGCTGAACATTCCTCAACAGCTTCCTGCCTATTAAAACGAATGCAAGGAGGTCCAAGCAGAATCAGCTAGTCTGGCAAGAGTGAGTTCCCCTGGTGTTTCCACATTGCCAGTGCCTGCTCCCTGCAGAGGAATCGACGCAGATGAAGGTGTGGTGGACAAAGGGATGTTACCTCGCACAAACGTGCCTGGAGGACTGCCGTTCATGTCGCTCCCCGGGTTGGCAACATTAATGGCACTGTTGCTGACAGTCCACAGACATGGATAGTGGCTGGAACGAAGCAGTGTAAACCATACTAGAATTTAAATAGGTAGATTAACCCCCAGATAGCACAGTATGGCAGAGTCAAGTGCATTACCCAGAACTGGCTACTGTGATAGCAGAACAGACTAAACAGGTCTCAGCTGGAAATCCAATAACAACTAAGGCTAGTTTGGGGCCAGTGGGGGGGGGAAGGGGAGGAAATGTGAAACTAATTTTGGAATTGCTTATATTTCTAAAATTTGAAAAAAAAAATCCACCAGCTCTGCAGCTGATCAACAGAGGAGGGGAAATTTGTATAAAAAATATCTCCAGTGGCTTTCTGCATTTTAAAATTAAATACTTCATCCAAACGTCTAAATTCAGAAAATGTCAACTTCTCTGTTAACAGCACTTGGTAGCTTCATAACATCTAATGAACTCGATTGCACAATGCCCCAGTGAGGCAAGCATTATTAGCCCCATTTTACACAGCAGGGTGATGAGGGATTAAAGATATTTCAGTGTCCACTAGTTTTGGATGCCTGAGTTTTTATGTGCTGAGGGGAGACATTGCTTTTCAAAGCACAGGCAGCTCCCACTGCTTTCTGCTGGAGTTGAAGGTGCTCAAAACTTCTGATTATTAAGCAAAGATTCTCAGATTGGGCACCCAAAAAATAAGGAACCCAGAATTAGTGAATACTTAAAAAAATGCACACATGATTTTTCTTGAGGGTTAATCACCAAACCCAGGCATAGAACTCAACAGTCCTATTGGCCAATCCCATTTATGTAGCCACTGCCTCAAATGGCTGTCTTTATTGCTGATAGGAGAATCCAGAAGTCCTGCCTGCCATTCCTACACACTGGCTATGTTTAGACTGCAGGCATCTTTCAGAAGAAGCTTTTCCGGAAGAGATCTTCCAAAAAAAGTCTTCTGAAAGAGAGTGTCCACACTGCCAAAATGCATCGAAAAAGCGATCTGCTTTTTCAACAGATAGCTATCTCTCATGTAAGCTGTGATTACTACGGGCAGAGTGGCCACCAGGGCACCTGTGCTTTTTCCTCTTTTCTCTTCTATCGAAAGAACTCCCTCGTCCCCATCCACACACCTTTTTGCGAAAGAGTTGTTTCAGAAAAGGTGTTCTTCCTCATAGAGGTTTACCAATGTCAGAAAAACCCCTTTGAGCTTTCGATTTTTTTTTTTTTAACGAACGCGATTGCAGTGTGGACGTAAGTGAAGTTTTTCGGAAAAACGGCTGCTTTTCTGAAAAAGCCTCAGGGTATGTCTACACTCCAAAGTATTGGTTCACACACACACCTCTTCTTCCCTTGATGGAGTAGTCTCTATTAAAGATTAATATTTTTTTTCAAATATTTCAATTTTAAATTAGTGATCTTAAATATCTTTTCACTGAATGTACATAGTTTGACTGTATACATTTGCATTGTAAATGCGCTATAAATCACATCTATTTTAGAAATGTACATTTGTCTGTTCATTTGTGAGTCCATTGTTCAAAACTCCTCTCAAAGGTAAGAGCTAGGAGCACCAAATTTGGTAGGCAGCTTCCTCACCCTAACTGAAAGCAAGGTCAGGGTTTGGTTGTGCCAGGACAATGAGATGTGCTTGGAGTTCAAATGTTTCTCATACACTGGAAAGGGAGAGGTCTGGCAGCAGGTAGTTATACTGCAGAATGACCACAGGGGACAGCAAAGGGTCACAGATGGGGACCTGGACAGCTTTAACCCCAGCAGGGGGCAGAAGAAAGGGACAAGTTTGTGTGTCTGTTTTCACTCCCTCAACTGTGCCCACTGGAGCTGCAGCAGCCATGAACAATTGCTTCTTGCCTAACCCTAAACTGCTGAAGTGAGAGAGGGCTGGTGTTCTCTCTCCCTGGGGCAGCCTGGACCCCTCCTTCCCAGCCCCACTCAGAGCAATGATTTAAATGAAGAAAAACAAAACTTATTTGAGTTAAGTACTCGAGCAATGCCACGTAAATCTTCCATTAGTAATAGATATTATAAATAGGGCTACAAGTACAAAAGCTAACCTAAAATCAGTGCAAAAATTATTGTTTTCATGCATTGTTTAAAGAACCATGACTTGAGAACTTTAAATCATTAATTCTCAACCAGAGCTTATGTGTACTTTGGGAGTACACAGAGGTCTTCCAGAGGATACATCAACTGATCAAAATATTTGCTTAGTTTTACAACAGACTACGTAAAAATAATTGGTGGTGAAGTAAGTACAAACTACAATTTAATATTGACCATGAATGACTTGCTTATACTGCTCTATGTATTAGACACAGAAATGTAAGTGCAATGTTTACATTCCAGTTTATTTATTTTACAATTATATGGTCAAAATGAGAAAATAACCAATTTTGCAGTTTTATGTCTGATTTTATAAGCAAGTAGTTTTTCAGTGAGGTGAAACTTGGGGGGTACTCAAGACAAATCAGATTCCTGAAAGGGGTGAAGTACTCTGGAAAAGGTTGAGAGCCACTGCCTTAAAAGACTGGAAAATAGACTGAAGGGACCAATTGTGCATCCAGGGGCGGATATAGGGCAGGGCGAACGGGGCGGCCGCCCCGGGCCCTGCGCTTCAGAAAGCCCCGCGCATGCGCCGTGGCAAAGGGGGGGCCCCGTGGAATTATGCTGCCCAGAGCCCCGCAAAACGGTCATCTGCCCCTGTGTGCATCAGTTAAAAGGTGGAGATAATACTAATTAGCATTTATTTAGTCCTTTACATTTTCCAAGAACAACAAAAAAGATTAAGCTTCGCAAAACCCAGCTGGTAAACCTAGTTGTCCTCATTTTTCAGAGTGGAAAACTGAGGTAAAGTGACTTAGTAAGGCCATGAAATGAGGTGGTGGCAGAGCTAGACTTGGTCACCAAGTCCTAACACCTTGTTCATGCTTCCATTCCATGCTGCCTAATGGTTCTTCTGTAACCTTACCTTGGACCAGCAGTGGCAGCTCCCTTGGTGTGTGGTACTGAAAGCAAGTTGGCATGTGGAGTAGATGGTAAAGAAGTCCAACTATCGTGCCCTGGAAACATCTGCAGATTATTGCTTGAGCTCTCTATCAAATTCACTTTCGAGGAAACACAAAAGTTTGGTGACTACACCAAGTTTTTGCAAGGCAAAAAAAAAATATAGAAAACAGGCAGAACTGAGAGAATAATCTAAGGGCATGTCTAACGTAGGGAGTTACTTCAAAATAAGTTATTCTGAAATACTAACTCCCAAAATAACAATTTTAAAATAGCACTATTCCTCTTCACAAGCAGGAGTTATTTCAAAATAACAAATCTTTTTTTTTTTTTTTTTTTTTTTTATAAAACAGCTCGAAATAAGTGTAGACATGCCCTAATAGGCCAATAAAAGCTCCTGCCTATGGGCTTGGGTTAACAATCTCACAGGGAAGAACAAACCTATTTTATTCATGGTTTCTTCACTCAAAAAGTAAATCATACTAGTCTGGATGGCAGAGAAATGGTAACCGGACCAGAGCTAGCTGAATGATTTTGAATTGATTTTTTTTTCTATTGGAAAATGCCATATTGCGGATACCAAAACTTGCCATGGGAAAACATGTCAATTTTGACTGAATTTCGCTTGGGAAAAAATATGAGTGCTTCAGGGGCCCCTGGCCATGGGTCCCTACCAGACCTAGCTTCCATCAACACACCAGGCTCCCAAGCATGAAGCTGTGGACCATGGAACACCAGCTGGTTTCCAGTGAAAACGTTTTTGTTTTTTGGGGGGAAAAAATTGGCCAGTCTGTAAGAGCTTCAGTGAAATGTTTTGTTCCAGCCAATTGTCATTTTCTGCCAAAGTCTCATTTCAATGGAAAATTTCCAACCATGTCTACTTATGACTATTAAATTTAAAAAGGAAAATCTGAATGATATTTGATTGCATCAAAAAATGAACATTTTGACCAATCCAAAACAAGAACATATAAAAAATTTTGTTTTGTGGGGAACTGTTGAATTTTTGCCATTTTCATTTTTATTTGGAATTAAACCAAATTTTAAAATGTCAGCAGTTCCCATGCAACAGAAATTCTGATTTTTGACCCATTCTAAATGGAATATAGAACCTTTCATCTCTAGCACAGTCAGTTCAAATCCAGCGTAAGGTCAGAATGAGCAAAGTTATTATCAGCTGCTGACTGTTCAATGGCCTTTTGTGAAACAAATTGATTCTCTGAGGGTATGTCTACACTACAGAGAAGATTTAAGCTGCCACTGTTGATCTTCCTTCCAGGGTTTGAATTAGCAGTTTTAGTGAGGACACTCTAATTCAAATTGACAGGGCACTCCAGTCAATGCCGCTAGTCCTGCTTTCACGAGGAATAAGGGAAGTCAAAGGGAGAGTGTTCTCTCTTTGACTTTCTGCACTGCGGACAGCTCCTAAAGTTGAGTTAAGGTACTTTAACTTCAGCTACACAATAACATTGCTGAAATTGCGTATCTTAATTTGATCTTATTCCGTAGTGTAAACATAACCTCAGTCCAGTACCTTATGGACATGTATCCATATAAGAATATAAAAACAGCCAGACTGGGTCAGACCAAAGGTCCATCTAGCTCAATATCCTATCTTTTGACCATGGTCAATGTCAAGTGTCCAGTGGGAATGAACAAATGATAATCATCAGGCAATCCCCCTGTTGCCCATTCCCAACTTCTTACAAACAGAGGGTAGGGAGATCATTCCTGCCCAACCTGGTTTTTAAGCTATTGATGGACCTAACATCCATGAATTTATCTAGTTCTTTTTTGAACCCTGCTAAAGTGCTGGTCTTCACAATATCCTCTGGCAAGGAGTCCCATGGGTTGACTGTGTTGTGTGAAGAAATATTTCATTTTAAACCTATTACCTATTAATTTCATTTGGTGACCCCATAGTTCTTATGTTATGGAAACAAGTAAATAACTTTTCCTTATCTACTTTTGCCACACCAGTCATGATTTTATAGACCTCTGTCATATACCTCCTTAGCCTCCTCTTTTCTAAGATAAAACAGCCCAGTCTCATTACTCTGTCCTCATATTGTAGCAGTTCCACACCCCAAATGATTTTTGTTGCCCTCTTCTGAACTTTTTCAGAGAAACTGCCATCATGATTAATATTGACAGTCACATCCGGAGGACGAACGTCCTGAATTGTCAGTGTGTCTTTAGAGCCCCTTTTGCCTGAAAATTCAGAGAATTTTCAGGCAGAAGGGGCTCTAAAGACACACTGACAATACAAAAACCTGATCCTAGATCAGCTCTTAAGATTCTCTTAATGGCTGCTTTTGTCTCAGGGTACGGCATTGCAGGAGGACTACCAGCTAATTCGAGTTAGGGCTTTAAATTGGAATCCCGTTTCACTGCCGCACGTAGACACAGGCAGTTACTTCAGGCAAATCAATTTCTAAAATGGCGACCGGCTGGGAACATGCAACTCAAGCGCGGGGTATTTAAATCCCAGGCTTGATTTGCAATTTCGGTCACCCTCATTAGCCTCCCTAGATCGATCTAGGGGGCTAGTGTAGATGTACTCTCAGAAGCAAGACTGATTCTGGAGTGAAAAGAAAGACCAAAATGGTTTTTGGAATTTTGGTATAATAAGTAATTTAAACGCGATTTCTCTCCTACTTCCCTTCTTAGCCTTTGTGACATATCTATCTCAGTAACTTTTACATGCTTGTTTTCTGTGCACCACACCTTTTAATTTCTGGATACTCTCCTTATGTGTGGATTTCAGGAGTTAGTTTGTTCTCAGAGTTCAGTGCAGATTGTTACAGAAGAGACGCATACCGTGCTCTCTCTACTGATTTCTCCTTCTCTTGTTTTGCTGTTTCTTTTAATGCAAGGCAGAGTTGTGCAGGCTTTCTCTGCGTGAAGAGACATTACAGACTTACCCGTTGGGGAGTGATTTCTCTGCATGTACGAAGCAGGATATGGTGCAGCCCTATGCCCTCGGAGAGCCGCATAATGCTCACAGCCATGGTGAGAATGTGGAGCGGGAAAAGACAAAGCTCCTCCATATTGATAATTAGAGCTTCCAGTTGCGCACACTGCATCTTGATTGGAAATCAACCAGCCACCTACTTTGAGGGAGAAAGAAGATACAGCAAGCAAAATTAATAAAATAGGAATAAGGGAGGTAACCAGACTTCCTAAAAATGTGCCCAGCCAAGTCACAAGACCTCCAGACACTAGAAAAGCACTTTTTGAGTTGTAAGTTGCCACCCTTACACACACACACACACACGCACAACAAACACTAGATAACAATATGTCTAATGCTTACATAGCATCTTTATTCCAAATTATCCCCAGCACTTTATACATTTTAGAAAGGAAGCAGTTTACTCCTCCAGTGAAATGCAGCTGCCCTTTGGGTGGAACAGGAAAACTTCTTATCATAAAAGAGCAACAATGCACAATAACATAAGGCAAGATGTGAAGACTACTAGTGTGTGCAAAAGAAGGCAGGGCAGATTTAGGAAAACAAAGTTATTTACCTATAGGTCTGCCCACAGAGATATGTCCTTACTCTTTGGAAAAGTACCATGGGATCTTTATTGAGTCAGGACCTAGATCTACCATCTTAGTCAAAAGGTGATAGCAAAGTACCAACCCCTGTAATCTTGGCAGACCTTGCTAAAGCAAGAAATCTTGACTACTGGTTGAACCTCCCTGGTCCAGCAACCTTGGGAGCTGAGTCGTCCCGGACCAGGGAGTTTGCCGGACCAGGGAGGTCAATGTTGCACTACTTACTGCCAACTCCTGTCCTTGGGACTCAAGGATGGGGTGCCCTGCCTGGCTGACACTTCCTGCACGATGCCACCAGGACTTCCCCAGCCAGGGCTGTCCGACCACCACCAGCCCCATTCAGCCACTGCTGGCCCCGGTACCTCCGGGAGATCCTTAGGGTTTCCCAGCCCTGAGGTCACCTGGCCACTGCTGCAGCCTAGCCCTGCTGCCCCAGGGGGGAGAGAGGGGGATTCCTGACTGCTGCTTGCTCTGCTGCTGCCAGAGATTCTTGGGGTTCCCCAGCCAGGGCCTCCAAGCCAGCCCCACTGCCACTGGGGATTCCCCTGCTTGGGCCAGGTCTCCCAGCTGTCACCTGGACTCATTACCAGGGTTCCCTGGCCAGGGCTCCTGGGCCACTGCATAGCCCCACTGCCACCAGATTGTTCTCAGGATTCGCAGGCCGGGGCCACTCCAGCTGCATCATGTCCCCACTGATGCCGAGGGTTCCCCAGCCAGGGTTGAGGCTCCCAGAGGCCCTGGCCCAGCTGACACCAGGGTTCCCCTGCCTAGCCGCTGCTGGCCCAGCTAGGACTTCACAGATCCCATTCTCCTGGGGCTCTTTGGTCCAGCAACATCCAAACTTGGGATGTTGCCAGACCAAAGAGTCCTGGATTGGGGAGGTTCAACCTGTATCCACCTGGTAGGTCCATGTATTGGTTGTCCACTTAAATTTTAGATGATTGCAAATCACTTGCTAATTCAGAGAAATTTTCATACCTTGGAGTTCAAACAGTGTAAATAGAAGCATGTACCACATTATAGCTGTACATCGTGTGATGAGCAGAATTCAGATGTAATGCCCAGAGGGAGGGTACATCAGGAATTGGGTTTAATTTGCTTTTTTTTTTTTAATTAATGATGCCATTCTTGTAATTATAACAAACAGGCTATTTAGTTTTAATCAAATAAATCAATATTGAATAGTGTTGTCTTCCCAACCCTTCTCTCCAAATTTCACTTCCCTCAAAGACCCCATTGAAGACTCATCTAGTCCTTCTGCCTGAGGAGAAATAAATTGCCCGGAGAGATGGTGGAATCTGCATCATTGGAGATTTTTAAGAGCAGGTTAGACAGACACCTCTCAGTGATGGTCTAGATCAGGCGTGGGCAAATATTGGCCCATGGGCTAGATTCAGTTCACCACGGTTAGCCCCTGGCAGGCCATCACCACTGTATTTATCTGCACCTCCACAGGTATGGGTGCTTACAGAGTCTGTTGGCCTCCAATCTCCATTCATGGGAAGGAGCCCAGCAGGAAGCAGTGTCGTGGTCCGCACCACTTCCTGTAGCTCTCATTGGCTGGGAATGGTGATCCATAACCAATGGGAGCTGTAAGCACCATACTTGCAGAGGCGCCGCACAAGTAAACATACCTGCAGCAGCCGCTGCTGCCATTTTATTGTCCACCCCAGGTCTAGATGGTGGTTGGTCCTGCCATGAATGCATGGGACTGGACGTGACAACCTCTTGCGTGTCCTTCCGATTCTGTGATCCTATGTGCCTCCTTCTGGAATCTACCCAACCAGTGCCTTCGTTTGGCAGTTCTCTAAAGAACGATGTAACATGGTGCCTTTGCTCCTTCCTCCAGTGCTGAGCTTACTATCTCAAAAGCCATTCTATATAGACTCATAGACTTTAAGGTCAGAAGGGACCATTATGATCATCTAGTCTGACCCCCTGCACAGTGCAGGCCACAGAATCTCACCCACCCCTCCTAGAATAATCCTCTCACCTATATCTCAGATATTGAAGCCTTCAAATACTTTGAAGACCCCAAGATGCAGAGAATCCTCTAGCTGTGATCTGTACCCCATGCTACAGAGGAAGGCGAAAAACCTCCAGGGCCTCTGCCAATCTACCCTGGAGGAAAATTCCTTCCTGACCCCAAATATGGCGATCAGCTAAACCCTGAGCATGTGGGCAAGACTCACCAGCCAGACACCCAGAAAGTTCTCTATAGTAACTCCTATCATCCCTCCATTAACCTATTCCCACTGATAATGAATGGTCAATTAGTTACCAAGATCATGTTATCTCATCAAACCATCCCCTTCATAAACCCATCTAGTTAGGGTGTAGGAGTTCGGAGCGCAGGTGGTATTCTCTTCACTCCTTCCTGTCAAAGGTAGGGGCCCGGGCAGAGAGAGGTGCATCCTGGACTCTGTGCTGATGCCCAGGGGAGAATCTCACAGCTGGCCTTGGCTGAAACACTCCCTCAAAGCTTTCTTGAGGAGCACAGTTCCCTGATGTGCTTACCGCATGGCACTGGTGTCCGACTGCTCATAATCCCTGGCCAGCCATTCAGTCTCTGGCCGCCACCCTGGCAGGAAAGTCTCCCCCTTGCTCTCACAAAGGTTGTGGCGCACACAGCAAGTTGCCACCATAAAGGGGATGTTTTGCTCACTGAGGTCCAGGTGAGACTCCTGAAACTCCCCTTCAAGTAGCCGGACACATACTTGACCATTTGGCAACTAGTGAGCCTGGCATTGAAGGTCTCCTTGGTGGGGTCCAGGCTGCCCAGGTAAGGTTTCTTTAGCCAGGGAAGCAAACGGTAGGTGTGTGTCACCCAGAATGCACATGGGCACAACCACGTCCTTGACCTCGATGGTGTGGTCAGGGAAAAAAGTGCCAGCATGCATCTTCTGGAACAGGCATGAGTTTCGGAATACCTGGGCATCATGTGCTTTCCCTGACCACCTGACATTGATGTTGGTGAACCGATGCTTGTGGTCCACCTGGGCTGGCACCACCATCGAAAAGTACCCCTTCCTGTTTATATAGTCTGAGGCATAGTGGTCGGGGGCCAAGATCAGGATATGAGTGCGGTCTATTGTCCCTCCCAGAGTTGGGGTAACCCATGGTGACAAAGCCATCAATGATTGTGTCGATATTGTGCAAAGTAATGACCCTCCATAGCAACATGTGGTTTATGATCTTGGCTACTTACAGAAGCATGGCCCCCACTGTGGATTTCCCCACACTGAACTGGTTTCCGATGGAGTGGTAGCTGTCCGGCGTGGTGAACTTCCAAAGAGCCATGGTGACATGCTTCTGCAGGGGGATGGCAGGTTGCAGTCGGGTGTCCTGTCACCTGAGGGCAGGGGCAAACCATTCACAGAACTGCAGGAAGGTGGCCTTCTGCATGCAGAAATTCTGGAGCCACTGCTGGTTGTCCCATCGCTGGAGGATGATGCAGTCCCACCAGTTGGAACTGGTCTCCTTCCACCAGAAGTAGTATTCAATGGTGTCCAGGAGGTTTAAGGTCATTTGCAGCTGTAGAAGCCCTAGAACCTGGGTGAAAGGGTCCTCTGGATGGGGCTGGTCATTTGGGCTGGAGTATTATGTAGGCAGTGGGGATGAAGTGCACCATGAGGCACAGCATGAGGCCAATGATCATGGCACTGCTTTGCAGCAGCTCTGGCTCCATGATGTCGGTGCTCTGGCATCCACAAAGGCAACCAGAGCATACTGCATTGGTTTGGTGTCCCACAAGGGGGTAGGCAGTATAGGAAGGGCATGTGAGACTCAGCCATTGAGAGGAACCCCCGTAAGCATGTGTCTCAGCTGGTCTGACCAAGCAGACACAGAAAGTGTCAGACCTCCTAGTACCCTCCTGGAGAGCTTCCAGAGACTGTAAGTCCGAGGCAGGCTCCAATCAGTGTGGATACAGTATTTTGAAATAATTCTGAGCTATTTCAATGCTGCCTTGTAGTGTGGACATGCTATTTCGATTCTGTTATTTGGGGAGTTATTTTTTTATGTTACGTATTTTGAAATTATTTCCTAGGATAGACACGCCCCAACAGACCTATCTTGGCAGGACACAACAGTACTTGGACTTAATGGAACAATGTAACAGTGCAGGATCATGAGCTAGCAGTAACATAATATTTCTAGAACTACAGTCTTATAGAACTGCTAACCCAAAGACTCGAGCTTTTAGATTAAGACACAGTGCACTGGGACTACATACATGTGTAGAGCTAGACTCATTCTTAAGTACCTTGTTCAATTAGGGCCACAGAAAAGATAGTTTAATACCTGGTGTTCTATATATGAAGTATTGATTTTTTTAAATCCTCAGGGCTAAAACCAAAGAGTATCTCCATTCATAGGTCCTTTAATACCATTCTCGAGACACAGCAGCCTAAAGAACCCTAACAAATTTGATCCTGTGTCACCGTCCTGTTGTATAAATATTATCACCACAGGAAGAGGTAAGTACAGAGGAAATATAATGTAGATCAACAATCAGTCAATCCAAAAGCAGGCCAAAAATATTTTCTTAAATCCCCATGGCCCTGAGTTTTCCCAAGCAGCAGGCTGAGCACATATCAGCATTGTCCAGAAGATTAGGAAAACAATTGAAAATCAGAGCCACTGTGAACTGAAAGGCTAAAACCACCAGCTCCTATAGAGAGAAAACAGAAATTTAGTGCATGCAGTTGCAAACGTGGACCAGCATCAGAAATGAAAATTCCAGTAGTCAGTTTAACTATTTGAGGACCAGTTCTTCCAAGTCAGTGAGGCCCAGAGCCATAAACATGGACAGGCACTTAATCCCCAGACTTTATAGACTCATAGACTTTAAGGTCAGAAGGGACTATTATGATCATCTAGTCTGACCCCCTGCACAGTGCAGGCCACAAAATCTCACCCACCCCTCCTAGAATAATCCTCTCACCTATATCTCAGATATTGAAGCCTTCAAATACTTTGAAGACCCCAAGATGCAGAGAATCCTCTAGCTGTGATCTGTACCCCATGCTACAGAGGAAGGCGAAAAACCTCCAGGGCCTCTGCCAATCTACCCTGGAGGAAAATTCCTTCCCGACCCCAAATATGGCGATCAGCTAAACCCTGAGCATGTGGGCAAGACTCACCAGCCAGACACCCAGAAAATTCTCTATAGTAACTCTTATCATCCCTCCATTGACCTATTTCCCACTGATAATGAATGGTCAATTAGTTACCAAGATCATGTTATCTCATCAACCCATCCCCTTCATAAACCCATCTAGTTTAATCTTGAAACCAGATAGATCTTTTGCCCCCACTACTTCCCTTGGAAGGCCGTTCCAGAACCTCACTCCTCTAATGGTTAGAAACCTTCATCTAATCTCAAGTCTAAACTTCCTACTAGCCAGCTTATATCCATTTGTTCTTGTGTCCACATTGGTATTAAGCTTAAATAATTCCTCTCCCTCCCTGGTATTTATCCCTCTAATATATTTAAAAAGTGCAATCATGTCCCCCCTCAGCCTTCTTTTGGTTAAGGTAAACAAGCCAAGCTCCCTGAGTCTCCTTTCATAAGACAGGTTTTCCATTCCTCGGATCATCCTAGTGGCCCTTCTTTGTACCTATTCCAGTTTAAATTCATCCTTCTTAAACATGGTAGACCAGAACTGCACACAGTATTCCAAATGGGGTCTCACCAATGCCTTGTATAATGGCACTAATACGTCCTTATCCCTACTGGAAATACCTCACCTAATACATCCCAAGATCGTATTAGCCTTTTTCACGGCCATGTCACAATGGCGGCTCATAGTCATTCTATAATCAATATATGCTGTACAGCCACACACTCCATATTCTGTAACACCCACTATGTGCCACACAATTCCATGGATGCTAGCTACCCAAATATGTATGGTAAGGGAAAGGGAGACAGAGAGTCCAGGACCTTCTGGCACACAAACCAAAATACCTGATACTGGCAATAAAAAGTCTCCTTGTCAACCAGTCTGAAGTAGAAGAGTTTTATTGTATAGGCCTCCAGACACTGGAAGATGGTGGTGCACAACCATCCAGAATTAATGCTGAGCAAACAGCTTTGACTTTCTTGGGAACGATTGAGCAAATTGAATATCCAGTTGTTGTTCACTATGGTTGGGGTCTCATAATGCATTCTGCTCATGGACATGAACATCATTTGTGAACAAAACAAGTAAGACGAGCAAGCCAAAATTCATTTAGAGATGGGAACAGAATTGCCAGCATGACCGATTAAAAAGTGCATTTTGACAATTAGAAATAATAATGGGAAATTAAATGAAAATACTTTGTTGAAGAGGCAAGAGGCAAAAAATGTCAGTAAAAATGTTTCCTGGGAAAAATCTGGAAACAAAACATTTCCCACAAATATTAGAGTTTGTTTATGAAGGGAAGAAAAGCCAATTTTCAATAAAACAAGAATAAAAACTTCCAATTTTAAATGAATCATTCATACAGTTATAATGATGGGACATCTGTAAGGATAACAAGGATCTCCTGAGTTATAATACTAAACAAAGGAACCAAAAGAGGGCAGATTTGAAAGAGTCATAACTCTGAACCTGCCAGGATGAGGCAAACCTCTAAGCACTAGGGATCATAAAGATAATTTCCTTGAGGTAGATTATTTTATAACTGCCTACTAGAGAGTTTCTTGAACCTTCCTCTTAAGTATTTATAGTAATGGCCTCCATCAGTAACAGGACTCTACTTTGGCTAAAACTAGTGATTATCTGGTCAAGCAAATCCTCTGTCCACAATACCTATTATAGTATATCATACTTCAAGTCCCCATGAGTAAAATAATGTTATGAAACCTTACAATGAGAATAAGTCATATGTTGACCTTCTGAAACATTTTCGGGAGTATCTTTGGGATGGTTTCTGAAAGAGAAAAAATGAGTGGTCATGTAGTGTTGTATTCAAGAGAAGGTGAAAGGGTTAGGGACATGAAAACTGAGAAAATTAAAACTGAAAATTGTTCAGTTTTAGGTTTCATCAACTGAAAAGACAGAGAGAAAAATGAAGAGAGACAAGAAATGTTACCGTCTTCAACCATTTACTAATGAGCTGTAGAAAGCTCTGTACTATGCCAAATGTGCCATCTATGAGGCAGGAGACCTTGCCTAATTCCATGTGCAATAATGTCCCCGATTCTGTCATCTTCAGAGGTTGAACCCTAGTGCTCTGGATCTAAGTATTGAAGCCTTTTTTGCTTGAACAAAAGGACCAAGGTCACTGGCTTTTAGGTAATAGTGGACTTATAAACCTTTGTACATGGTCCAACCACTGGAGGGAGCCAAAGAGCCATATTTTGTTAGCATAGGTGGCACATGCAAACCATTTCAAGATGACAATTAAATACACTTTTATTTTCTGACTGCGCATGTCTCTCTAACGTCTTAAAGACAGTGATCTCCCACGGAGATTCTTTTAATGCAATGAGTCCCACTTTACCATAAAGGTATGGTAATTACAGGATAGTAATTGCAGTTTTACTGATGTTGATGTCTGTGTTTACTGCTTATTCATATAATTGGAGAGTTACATGAAATGAGACTATATGAGAACAATTAAGCATAAATACAATTGAGCTAATATACCTAGAATCTAATACTAACAAACTAATAAGTACAAACAGTCAAGTTGTTAAGTTTCTATTTATATGAATTAGTAATGATTACATAATGAAAAACAAAACAAAAAACAATCACTGTAATTATAACCTTTTTATTATAAAATGTGACCAGTAAATGATATTGCAGCATTTTGTATCAGCAGTCCACTCAACTATGTAGGTACCAAATGTGGTGACATATACTGTGGTGTGAATCTGACATTAACGCTACTGACTTCAATGGAGTTACTCTGGATTAACAGCTTTGGAAAAGCCGTCAGGATTTGCCCCGTATCTTTCTCATAGCAAAGTTAAAATTTTAACTCTAACAGCGGCAAAAGTCACCAAGCTGAGCAAAAGCCAAACTCACCTTTCCTTCGCATCCAGGAAAGCTTTGGCAAAGGGATTATACTTGATTTTGAGAGCTGTTATCTTGGGTTTGCAAAAAACAAGACATGTTAGTGAAGGTAATTTTAACAGAGACCTGACATAGCATTGTCCAGAGCAGGGGTTCCCAACCTTTTTTGGTCCCTGTACCTTCTTGGCTTTTAGTAAACCTTCCCATACACCCTATTCAATATGAAAGGAAATAAATTTTAGACCCTAGAATCCACAACTTTTTTCACTAACACTACTACTTTTGGAATATTTCAATTAGGATAATCTAGTTATTTACCAAATATTCCCCGTACCCCCTTGACAAGCGTCTTGTACCCCCTGAGGGTACGCATACCCCAGGTTGGGAACCCCTGGTCCAGAGTAAACAGAATGGACTGAGTTCCACGTCAGTTAGTGGAGAAGACAGGTATTGTATTTATCATGTGACTATATGTTAGCCAGGTGCATTGTGTGGGAGCATTGCTCTCCTCTGAAACACCAACCACTGGTCACTGCCAAAGGCAGGAAACCAGCCCTGATGGACCAATGATCTGATCCAGTATGGGAAATTCTGTATTCCTGGGAATACTTCTCCAGAAGACACTGAATTGCATATAAATATTCTTAATATGCATAGTGTCATTAACAAGGAAAAGGGGGACAAGGACTACCAACCCTCATGCTTCAGGGAACAGGGCATGGTTTGAGGTCAGGAAAACCTTTCCCTATGACAGGAGTGAGCAATAATTTTTGATGGGGTGGGGAGCCTGCTCCAAGAATTTGGTAAGTGGTTGAGGGCTGCACTCTCCCATGATATCAATGGAGGAGGTGCAGGGTCTGAGATAGAGGTTGGGTGCAGAAGGGAGCTTGGGGTAAGATATTGGAGTGCAGGAGGGGGTCTGGGAGGAAGTTTGGGTGAAGGAGGCAATTGTGACTAGGGTGCAGGGGCTTGGACTGTGACCTAGGGCAGGGGATTGGGGTGCAAGGTCTGGGAGCGGGTATGGGTTCAGGAGGGAGACAGAGGGTTTGGCTTATGTAGGGTAGAGGGGCAGGAGTGGGGGGGCAGAGGGTTGGGGGAAGAAGGGGCTGCAGTGCCAGAGGCAGGCTCTGGCCAGGAAACTTACCTGGGTGACTCCCGGCCAGCAGCCCAGCATGTTCCTCAGGCAGCTTTCCTGCCAGCCCCACCCCTGTGCAGGCTGCATGGCCATGCACGTTGGTGAATAAGAGCCTGAGGGGAGGGCAGAGTGGTGCTTCATGCACTGCCTGCTCTTCAAACAGGCAGCTCCCATTGGCCAGAAATCGGCCAGTGGGATTGTGCTGCGGGCGGGAGCAGCATGTGAAGCACCACTCCCCCCTCCCCCCCCCAGGCTCACAGCTGAGAAAAAGAAACGGCTGCAGCAGTCACTTTTCTGAGCAGTGTTGGGAGGGGCAGTGTGAGGCAAGTACGACGTCTGCCTGAGGCTCCCCACTGCGTTCACAGGCCAGATCCGGTGGCTTGGCGGGCTGGATCCAGCCCATGGAGGGTATTTTGCCCAGGCCTGCCGTGTGATATAGTACAATAGTCTGAGTGAATTATAAGAAGAGTAGAGGGGTTATACAGGCTGGACTTCTCTGGTCCGGCATCATCAGGACCTGGCCAGTCCCAAACAAGAGAATTTGCTGGACAAGGGGAGGTCTCCTGCCACCAGCTCCCAATCCCATCTCCTACTGCTCACAGGCTGCCCCAGCAGACAACCCTGCCTTGTCCTCCTTCCCCGAACCTGTCTGGGAGATTTGCCCAGCTATTGCTAGCTGTTTGGGTGGCCCCGGCTCTGGCTCCTTCCACAGGGCTCCGTTCCTGTGCAGCCAGCAGTAGCCACGGGGCTGGGGCTCCAACCCCAGCCCTGCACAGCCAGGGAAAGCTGTGGGACTGTGACCTCATGCTCCTGGGGCTGCTGGAAGGCTGCAGTCTTGCACTGGCTCCAGCTGGGTTGCCAAGTCCAATGTCCCACCTGGCTGGTCCTCCTGCCCTTAGGCTCCCGGGCTCTCTGCTCCAGGAGCATCAATGGTCCTGCCGGGCTACAGATGTTGCCAGACTAGAGAGTCCCAGATTTTTGGAGGTACAACCTGAGATATCCAGCACTGGGCAGTGTTAGAGACAGATACCAGACTAGATAGAAAGCCTCAGTGTGTCCCAGCATGGTAAGGGGATGGGCTACTGGTACAGATAGACCAGTCCAGTATGGCAGCAAGCAAAATACCAGACTAGACTGATCATTTATCCATCCTGGTAGTGCAGACAAAGTGGACCAAAGGCATGTTTTGTTCCAGTAAGGAGTCAGAGTTTTCAACTAGATGGGCCCTCAGTCTGCTCTGGACTGACACGGAGATAGGATACAGGATTATTTTCACAACTGGTGTATGCTGATTGTTCACGTCTTTAGCTTTTAATATTTCTCATCAGCAATGACCAAACAATGTGACATTATTACCCACCTACCTCTTCATTTTGGTAAGCAGTGACAGCTATGAACTGAGTCTCCGGAAAGGAGCAGTTCATCACCATCCTGTGTGGGCCTCCCACGCGAACAATGTGAACCTGAGGCTCATATTTATGCAGGGAATTCAGCATTATCTGTAGAAAACAAGAAGGAAGACAGAATTAATAGGCAGCTTGTTTAAAAAAAAACAAAAGGAGGTATTCCTCCACACAATGTTAGTCAACTTGTGGAACTCCTTGCCAGAGGATATTGTGAAGGCCAAAACTATAACAGGGTTAAAATACACTAGATAAATTCATGGAGGTTAGGTTCATTAATGGCTATTAGCAAGGACAGGCAGAGATGGTATCCCTACCTTCTGATTACTAGAGGCTGGGAATGAGTGACGGGATGGTCCACTTGATAATTGCCTGTTCTGTTCGTTCCCTATAAGGCAGTTGGCATGGGCCATAGTTGAAAGAGAGGATACTGGGCTGGGTGGACATTTGGTCTGCCTCAGTATGGCTGTTGCCATGAACTGTCACAGCTACATCAGCGATGACCAGTCTGAAACAGCTGAAGAACTACATTTGTCACCAAACAGAGCCGCAGAGAAATCACAAGCGATGACCTGACCTGGCCTTGCGATATTTGCATTCTGTTGTTGACACTCACTGTCAGCCCCATATTAAGTGGACAGCACGTAGAAACATCACAATGCAAACCCAACGTCAGCAGAGCTCTGCAAGGTCGTCCTCTCGGTGATTCATGCAATCCCCTCCCCAGTTCCTGGTTGGCTGTGAGAGAAAGATTTCTCCTTTCCGCCTTCTGTCCTAGCTGCACAGGTACAGGCTCTAGCTGAATTACATTTGGTGCTTTGATGCAGCTGTAAATATCAGCTCTGAGGCCCCATTGTGTGTTGCAAGCTGTACAAAGAGGTAAGAGAGAATGCCTACCCTATGCCGGAAGTCTAAATAATAAGATGGGTGAACTAGAGCACCTCACATAGAATGAGGATATTAATACAATAGCCATCACAATAACTTGGTGGAATGAGAATAATCAATGGGACACAGCCATACTGGGGTATGTATTAGAAGGACAGATCAGGTCACGCTGGTTGGGGGAGTGGCACTAAATGTGAAAGAAAGAATAGACTCAAATGAAATTAAAATCTTAAATGAATCAAATTGTTCCATAGAATCTTTATGGATAATACTTCCATGCTCTAATAACATGACTATAGCATTAGGGATATATTACTGACCACTTGATCAGGATAGTGTTAGTAACTATGAAATGCTAAGGGAGATTAGAGAGGCTATACAAATAAAAAACTTAATAATAATGGGGGATTTTAGCTATCTCCATATTGACTATCCCCATATTCAGGGATAAGATGCAGAGAGAAAGTTTCTTGACACCTTAAATGATTGCTTCTTGGAGCAGCTGGTTCTGGAACCAAAAGAGGAGAGGCAATTCTTTATTTACTCCTAAGTGGAGCACAGGATCTGGTCCAAGAGGTTGACTGTAGCTGGACCACTTGGAATTAGTGACCATAATATAATTAAACGTAGCATCCCAGTGGTGGGAAAATGCACAGTCAACCTGTGGAACTCCTTGCCAGTGGATGTTGAGAAGACCAGGACTTTAACAGGTTAAAAAAAAGAGATAGATAAATTCATGGTGGTTAGGTCCATCAATGGCTATTAGTCAGAATGGGTATGGATGGTGTCCCTAGCCTCTGTCAGAAGCTGGGAATGGGCAACAGGGGAGGGATCACTTGATGATTCCCTGTTCTGTTCATTCCCTTTGGAGCACATGGCACTGGTCACTGACAGAAGACAGGACACTTGGTTAGATGGACCTTTGGTCTGACCCTGGAGTGCTTATGGTCTAAAAAGCACTGGGGCCATGACCTTTTCCTGTGTTTTGCACAGTGCTGAGCACATGAGGGATGCTCAGTGAACAATATATTTATTATGATAAAACACCTCCCTTCAGGTATCACATTTTGATTAAGAACACAGAAGGGAAAGCAGAGCCCTAGACAGAGGCCATGACTTGCCTAGACACCCAGATTTATTTGTCCATTATTTTTTCCCACCCTTTAAAAACAACCCTCTCTTCTGGGGATTCGGGAGCTAAGGTCTTATACTTCAGATGCAGAGCTAGATCTTGGCAGCAATTGGATTCTGTTCTTAGCTCTGCTACTGACAGCATGTATGACCTTAGGCAAAGATGTCATCTGTTTGTGCTCGTTTCCCAATCCATAAAATGGAGACAAACAAGTCACTCGTAAGAGTGCTTTGAAACTAAATATTAAGGCTTGCAAGGGTCCTAGATGAGCATAATAAAATGACAACAAACAAATTAGAAATACTATAATAGGGAGTTATGAGTCAGGGCTAAGGTTAAAGTAAAGAAAGTTTTTATATGTTGGGCAGAATTTGATTTTTATTCATTTAAAATTATATCTATATATAATTATATAAACAAATTATATATATATTTATAATGTATACAGATAATCTTCAAAAGCGGCGAGGAGTCCTGTGGCACCTTATAGACTAACTCAGTGGTGCCCGTGGGCGCCATGGCGCCCACCAGGCCATTTCTGTGCGCCCACCGAGTGATCGAGGCCAGCCCCGCCCCCGGGCACGTGGTGCATGGGCGGTGCCAGCCCCTGGGCGCGCAGCTTCTGGGCGGCCCCG